TAAACAATCACCAATGATAATATTTTCATCGTATTCATTTGGTTGAATATTTTTCACTTTCAATTCAATACTTAACCTCATTTCCTGTTCCTTTGAAAACAATCAAGTTAAATCTACTTCATGTAAGGTCAATGTCATTTACTGATGATGATTAATACAATTGGATCCAATCAATTTCTGTTAATCTTATCCATCTTTTTAGTATTCTTAACACTCTAACCAAACAAAACAACAATTGATTGGTAACAAACAACAATCAATAAACTCAATTTTAATCATTGTTGAAAATACAATATAACTATGAGGGTATTAGGATAATAATAATAATCCAAATTGTAAATCCATCATAAAGTAAATTAAATAAAATCTACGAGAGAATTAAATTGATCATTTAACAAGTGGAAGTGATTAAAGTTAATAAATTTCTCTTAGATGATTGACCTTCCATTATTAAATATTGTACAATTTTCGTAAACAATTAGCAAATATGATTAAAGGAAAATGGTTAATTGTTTGACCAGAAGAAACAATTTTCAAGGTAACTTAACCTAAGACCTTAATCCAGTTAAATATTTTACTTTTTAGAGAGAGAGAGAGAAAGAGATTAATTAATTCATTTAAGTATATCAACAATTTAAGGGATGGGATTATAAATGGATAGTAAATGATTGTAACAATCAATTGTTATTATTTAGAATTGGGATAAATTTTGATCAGTTAGTTAACTTAATCACGATTGTAATGGTAAAAGGTAAGGTTAAGACTCTGCAGGATATCCTGAGGTTGAAAGTGATTAAATAAGTTGCAATTACACGGAAATGAAATTGCAATTGGTAAGGCCTATTTGATAACAATTAACTTAATCAGCATCATCTTTATCCTATTAATCAAAAGATGATAATCATGATCAATTTTTCCGTCCATTTAACAATTTGTAACTGTATTAACATACGAAAGGAAAACAAAACAAGTATTAATATTGATTAGGTTACAATGATTTTCATTTAAAAAGGTGAGCCCATTGATTTGGTTGATTGGAACCGTTACAATTTAATCTAATTATCTTGATTAATAAGCATATTTGGCAAGACCATTTGATTTTCAATTGTAAGACTGAGTATGAGAAGGCGATTAAGGAACAATTAACACTCTGCCTACATCATAATTAAGAGGAAAAAAACAACAACAAATTGATCTTGATACAGAAATGAAAAATTGACACTTTTAAACATTTAAACTAATCCGGAAATGGTTAATCTAAATTGTTGCTCATCCCTTTGATTATTCAAGATGATGTGAGCTTATTTAGGTATTAATAGTTGATGATAACGATAACATCAAACAAATGTTGACAATGTTGATGAGCTTTTTGTTTAATATTATATCTGATGACGAGATGGTGTTAATTTAAGATTTAATTGGTGACTACATGATGACATGAAGATTAATCAGAATACTTCATGGAAGATGATGATGAATCAAGTATATTGATAAGGATGGAAAATAAGAGTAAATTTTTACATGAAAATGTTTCTTAATGTGTAGGAGTTTACTCATTGTTGATTGTTGTAGTTTTTTTTTTCATCAATGAAAAAGTGAAAGGGAAAGTTACACCCAACGGGGAGTTGAAGTATCATCATCATCATTATCATCTTCATCTTCATCTTCATCATCTGGATGACCTGCTAAATGATAATGGGATGAGCAGGTTGTTGGGACAACAATCAACATCATGTTAACATGTGAACCAAGCCACCCAAATATTTGTTATGTTTGTCAATGATTAGTGAATAAAGTTACTCAAGGAAGAGACAAAACTGATATAACCTAATAAGAAGTAAAAATTTTTACCCTGAAAAAACAGATCAGAATCTCAGATTTTTTTTACTCAATAATATCAATGAATTTGCTGAGAAAATTTTTCCATTGAATCAGAATTCAGACAAAAAAACTACAAATAAATCAACATAACAATCTGATTTTTATTAAGCTTAGTTACAACCTATCAGCTTGATCATAATCATGACAATTAAATTACTTTGCAATAATTAAATCAACAAATAAACTTTGCCTTTTTTTTCAAGGATAACAGACAATTAACAATTCCCTGGGTAAATATTACTATTAATAATAATTACCTGATTATCAATAATAAACTGTAATCAATAATAAGGAAGTGGAAAAAAATTTTCCCCAAGATTTGAAATCAACGTTGAAATTTAACTATATAATTAAATGATTAACAAAATTTACATTTAATTTTTGATTGATTATAGTTGATAACAATTCAAATTGATCAGTAGATTATCACTATCGTTAAATTATCCAAGGGTATTGGGAATATGAATGAAATTAAATTGAGATGATCATCAAATCTGATAATTGTTGATGTATTGGTTGCAACAGATAATTGATCAATAACCATTATCAATACTATTTGTATCAAGTGTAACTGTAATGTCAGCAATTGATAGTTTAGTTAATTAATTATCAGACTATGGTAGATAATTAAAAGTTCATAATCATTATCAATACTTCATTCAACCGATTGGGGGGAAAATCATTAATATTTACTACATAAACATGATCATTTCCATACTCAGGTATTCCGATGAAATCATCAAGTGAATTGTAAATGATAAAACAGGTAAAGTGAGAGAGGATAATGATAATGGCGAGTCCGATAAAGCTCAAGGGAAAGGCGGGAGATGCAATTAATACAAAAATCTTGGTGAAATTACATGTTCATGGTGAAGAAGTTGAATCCAAAAAAAAAACAAGGAATCCATGTTCATGTGAGGTTTAATAATAGTCACAATTATGATTAAAGGGAAAGTTGATTCAGTTTAATTTGTTGAATTTATCATTCTATCGCCTCACAGCAGCATCTAATTCATGATGAGAATCATCATCATCATCATTATAATTATCATCTTCAACCCTTGAAACAGGAAATGGTAGCAAGAATTTGGATCTTGGTTTATTTATGAAACTCTGATGATAACAAATTATAACCAAATTAATCAATTAATATCATCGTTTACAAGGAGCATTGGACTCTCTTACTTTGTTGATAATCATTTTCTTTATATCAAATTAATGTTCTATCAAAAATTTCTTATAAGAGGCCGGCGAACTTTTAATTTCAACCGATAATGATAACGATAATTATCCTTAAGATGATGATGATGCTCATCATCATCAAGATACTTATTTAATAACATTGAAACTCCTCCTTGCATATAAAATAAACAGCAAAAGAAAAAACAATCTCATTATCAACAAATAACTGGCAATTTGGGTTCCTATCTCAAAATACACCCGAAAATTTCATTTACATGAGTTTGAAATTTTTCATGGAAATTCAAATTTAATAGCAACACTTTTTGATTGATTATCGTTCATTTTTCATTTACTAAATTAGTGAAAATCCTTGATTAAGATATTCAATCAATAATGAAAAGCTATCATATCTAAAGTAATCAAACAAGTAATAATATAACAATGATATTCAATTTGATCAGCTTATCGGCACGTAACAAAATGTTACTAATACAAACAATCAAGTTTCACCCGATAAATTGTAACCTTGATTGTTGAACAAAATCAATTTAATCTCTTTCTCCTTTGAAAGTTCAATTCTAGCCATTAGATATCATAAATTGTTATTAAGTTAACTGTTTATCTGTAAAAATAATGATCCAACATTTAAACAGGAAAAGTTGATTGTTATATCATTGGTTATATTGATTGTTAACAATTTAGCGATAGCGTTCAAGTTCAATGCAATTTGGTAATAATATTAATGATGGTGATGATGATTAACAATTAACGATTATATTATATATAAGTTTCTCTCTTTCCTAACGATCAGGTTGATTTAATTTTTATTTGGTTAAAATAACGGGAAAACAATTAAGATAACAATGAGAATCATTCCCAATTCCCAATTAATTTAATCGATTTCAAGCTTAATTTGGTTCTGATAATCAATACTAATTGTGGGTATTATTAGTAATCTGTTAAGATAATCACTTTAATTTATTAAACTAACTAACTATTTTTTAGTGTCTCTGATAACCTTGATTTAGTTAATTAGTTAATCAACATTTCTAATCAAATATTAAAACTTTAAGTCCATAAAATAATTGATTATCAATGGATTAGATTTATCACTGAATAACAACACAATTTAGCTTCAAGCAATTAGCTAAATTGTAATCTCAGCATATTAATAGACTGATGAAAAATGACTCAGCCCATAATTAATCAGTGATTAAATTGTTAATTACAATTAACAAAAGAAACAGCAAAAATAATCAATGGTCACTCAAAACAACAACAAAAGTTGATCCCACCTTGAGACACCCAACAATTAATATTATTACGTTGATTGTGTTAATTGTTGAACTTGAAATTGGAGGAAAAATTGAACCATTTAATGATTAACTATTCTGTCTGTAGTAAACTAATTAACTGATTGTTTATTATTAATAGTGATTAAATGTATTGGTGGTTTCTTTTTTATTGTTTATATGTTTGGTTATGGTACCAGGCTGAGTTGCTCAGGACTCATAGGTTGATTTAACATTGAAAACCAAAGGTAACAATTAATAAAATCATTTCAACAATTAAACGTATTGGGATAGACTGCTGTTAACTGTTAATTTTGATTAAATTAAAATTGATCTTAATCAAGATAATTAAAGTGTATTAATCAAATGTAAGAAACTATAGGATGGGTTCTGATTGAGTGTTAAACAGGGTGTTGTGTTTATCGTCAGGAAATTGTTTCTATCATAATTAATTACCAATATCATTGGGAAAATGGTTCACAGACAATCAATTGATTGAGAATAATCTTAATTGTTGACAGTAAATTGTCATAAATGGTTTAGAAAATTGGACAATGAGCAAGTGTGAATAGCAATTAATACTGTTGATTGTTACCTTGATTGATTATCATAAGAATTGGAAAGAAATTTTTAATTGTAACTTACGTTACGTCTCCATCTTTAATCCAATAATCTGTTAAATTTGATTGAGTTAAATTTAATAATAGTCTCTCATTGGGATCCAATAACTCTAATCGAAATCCACCCTGGAATTAATTGAAAAGAAAAGAAAATATTAATTACCATGTTAATTGTAACTTTGATTGTTGATAATCAAGTAATATAATCATCGTCATCATATTTTGTAAAGATTAGTTTCAAGTTGACCAAACCAAAGTATTAAAAACTTTAATCCAGATTAGATTAATTAAGTTTAAAGTGTGATTTACATTTGATTGTAGTGTGATTAACATTATCCTAACAATTTAGATGATGATAGTTATTAAATTATAGATGATCAATCTTACTCTTCCATTCTAATTAATATCATGATAATCAAAGATTAGATTGAGTATATGATGATTTAAAATTTAATCTTCCATTGATATAGCAAATTAAATCTAATCGTGAGAAGAAACTGAATTAACTAAATGATAATAGTTGAAAAGTCAATTGTAAAAGTTGATTTATAATTAGAATGTAAATTAATGAGTATTCCTATCAACTAATTAAAAAAGAAAATGGTTACATTGTTAATCATTGTGAAAATTAGAGTTAAATTTTATTTCATGATTAACTCATTTCACAATTTAAAGATATTAACAATTCAAACTGATTTAATAAAATAATATGATATGAGAATTGTAAAATTTTGAATAATTAATTTAATTGTGACTATGATTTATGGTTTAACGTTTAAAGATTGAGGTTGATGCTGTTTCCAAGGTTTAATTGTTGTTATTAAAATAAGAGATTTAAATTGTTTACTGAATATCAAATTTATGTTTTACTTTGTAACAATTAACCAGAATCCAATGTCCTTTGGATTAAGATTATTAATTCATGATTAATATATATATGGATTGATTGCTAAATTACTACAATTTGGGATTGTTAATTGATTCAATTAGATTTAAATTTACTACAAATTGACCATGAATTAGGATTTTGGGTGGGGTAATGATTAACGGAATCAATTTGATTGACTTAATCCTTGAGAAATTTAAATCATGATTAAGAATGAAAAAATTTTTCAATTTCTTAATCACAATCAAGTTTCCTAATTGTCATTAAGAGTTGATTATTTGTATCTGAGAAATTAATTGTAACCCAAAATTAGTTTATTTTGTCTTTCGATCTGTCTAACAATTTAAATTAAATTTGATTGATTGCTGATTAATTGCAATCAAACTTATAACAGATTTAATTTAATTGGTTATCCTTTGATTGACAATTAACCATGTCAACAAGTTTTTAATCATTAATCTAAGGGACATTGATTAACTGATTTAATGACACTCACGGAAATCAAATCAATAGCATAGATTGTGGGTTAAATTAATTTTAATTACAATTTATAGTAATTAAAATTCAGGTCAATTGATTTGGTTATCCATTGATTATTAAGAAATAAATGAAAATTCATTAAGATAAGTGATTGATTAGATTGGTCAGTTATGACATTTCAATGGATTAGTACAAATGATTAGTTTAATGGTGAAAAACGAGTTAAAATTTTATACAATTAAGCAGAGAAAAAGTGAGAAGTTAATTGCTACAATCAATGGAGTTTCAATGGTAACTAAATCAACATGGAAAACTATTGAATTGATTCAGATGGTGATTCATTTAATCAACAATATGGAAAATATAATAATATCGATGACAATAAACAACTGAACAAATAGCTAATTGTTGACAATTTATAAGACTATTTGGAAACGCAATTCAATTCAATTGTAATGAAAATCTAAATCCTAAGAACTAGTGAAATACATTATATTAATTAACTTTGGACATTTATAATTAAGTAAAAAAGTTTGTTTTAAAAAAGTAACAACAATTAACTAAATAGATAATTTTAGTCTCATTGTTTATACTAATGTTTCATGTGGATTTGTTGTTGTTTTTGTTGATCAAAGTCTCAAGGTATTGGATGTTAGTTAAAAGCTGATATAAAATTAAATGATCAATTGATTGTTATAATAGCGGCAATTGATTCAGTTTATGGTCAGTCTAATGGGATAAAAACCAGAAACTAGTGAACAATAAAAATCAACCAACAGGTAAAGTCCACAACATGAAAAGAAACCAGAATAGATTTTTTTTCAAGCTTCAATTCAGAGAGACAAGACAGAGAGAAAGTCAAAGAGAGAGAGAGAGAGAGAGAGAGAGAGAGAGAGAGAGAGAGAGAAACATTAGCCCTGCAGGCAAACCGGATTAGCGTTAGGAAAGGCAATGTTAAGGTTCGGAGGAAGAAAAAGAAAATACCAGAGAGAGAGAGAGAAGAAGAAGATAGAAGGTTGGGCAAGAAAAGAAAGAGAAAAGAAGATAAAGTAAGAAAAAGACAAAGAAGAAGAAGAAGAAGAAGAAAAAGAAAAAGAAAGGTATCATCTTCATCATCTCTACCTGAATGCGAACAAGTTTCTTCCTTCGACGATTCTAATTACCAACCGTGAAAATAAGAAGAAGAAAAAATGGCTTCTCTTTCTTTCTTCTTTACCTGAAATTTTTGCTCCATCATCTCCATCAACTTATCTTCTTCTTCTTCTAATTCAAACTTACCTGTGTCTCTTGACCTTGTAAAAAAAAGTTACCTGTTCACAGATGAAGCAACAAGATAACTTTTATTTTCTAAATGCTTACCTGACCTAATATACTATCAGTCTCATATTATTATTACATCGATAATTTTGATCGTGATCACATTTACCTTTCAGGTGAGAGCTTTAATTCAATTTAATATAATCCTAGTTCTAAGGAAAACGAGAGTAAATAACCATCATCATCATCTTTATCTTCATATTATCCTTCATTAAGACATTTATAATAATCACTATTGGATGTAATCAGATATTCATATACATGTACATCTTGATACTCAATTGGAACTTTTTATTTCTTGATTCTTGCATAACTTGTAATTAAAAGGTCAAGGACACAGGTAATCAATTGACTAGCCAATTGTTTTGTAAATTGCAACGTTAAACAATTAATAGATAGAACCATAAAATATTAATTAATAACTTCTGTTTGGTAACAATTAAAAACATTGATTAAAGTTTCTGATGATTTAAAAGTATCAGATTATCAATTGATCAAAGTTAATTAGAATCGACAATCAATTGCAGATTATAATCTTTTTTTTCCCTTTACAATTGGTTATGATGATACGAGATTTAATTGTGATTACTTGATATAAGTTAACCTTTGGATAACAATTAATAAATTACTTACCCGATGAGGATAAGCTAAATGCCAAGTAACATTAAATTGTACACCAGCGGGTAAAGCCGTTGTTTCAGTACCTGTTGATAAGAAGATAAAGATGATTAGTTAATCAGTTAATCATAATTGAAACAATCCAGTGTCCACTAATCCAAGAAAGAAGGTAAAATCAACCTGAAAGTTACTCAATATTTTGGAAATACTTTTAATCCGAGAGATTAAAAAACTTTCACTAATCCAGCAACAACATTCAATTGTTAATCAATCTCATGGTTGGTAATTTTCATATTAATCATTAGATTAACAATCTTAAATCATCAAACCTTGACAGATTCTTGTTTACAGTTAACAATTAAATATTTTTATCATGAAAAAGAAACAGTTAATTTCAATGGATTATATTGTTAATTAATTTAATTGTTGATTAGTAACATGATAATCTATGTAATTATCTTTCCACTTGGTTGAAAAACTATATGATTAACATGCAAGAATAATTGAAAACAATTAATAACAATGGTGAACATTATAAGAAGGTACAAATTAGATTGATAGTAAATTAAATTAAACAATTACGACAATTAACTAAAAGTACAATTTGTGTTAAAATCGTGATTACCTAATTTTACATGTTAATAGAAACTTAATCATTAACAATTAAGGCTTTTTTTCCATAGAGGTTAATATTATACAAAATTGTGAGAATTAATTTTCTTAAGTTAATAATTTGTAAATTGTTTCTCACTGATTGTTAGTTGTATTAATATCAACAACAAATGATACAAGTTAATCACGATTACGAGGATAAAATTAAGGAATAGATTAAATCGTATTCTTGACCAATTGGATTAACCAATTGATATAATAATACAATTAAGTTTGTAGTTAAATGTAAATCGTTACGCTGATTGTTACAACAATTGTTGATAGATTAGGTTATAATCAAAGGGTTAACGAGGTAAATTGTTAGTCGGTGATTTGAATGATTAGCATCAGGATGATTAGGCGATGATGCTATTGAGAGGATTAAGTGAGAGAGAGAGAGAGAGAGAGAGAGAGAGAGAGAGAGAGAGAGAGAGAGAGAGAGGTCACTCTGATGATGAATAATGAATTTCATCTTAATGTTTACTCTTAATCAAGTTTGATCATCATGATGGAAGAAAATTTTTTTTCATCTCTCTTTCTTTTCCTCACTTTTTTTATTATTATTATTATTGTTTATCTTCATTCATCCTTCATCATTTACCTTTTACTTTAACCTTCTTAACTGATTTAACTTGAACTTCTTACATGATTCAGTTTAACGATAACAAGTAAGAATTGAGAAAAAAAAGTTCTTATTGTTTTCAGATGATTTCAATCGACATCAATATGAAAAACTGTCAACCTTGTTGTTACGTTGATAAATGTTTACATTTGATATTATGTACAAATAAGTAAACATTGATTGTAACAATTAAATTGATGTAAGATAGTCACACAAAATAATATCATTGTGATGAGAGAGAGAGAGAGAGGGAGAGTAAGTGAGAGGATTAAAAAGTCAATCATATTCTTAGTGACCTAATAATCAATGTTAATATTAGATAATAATTAAAAGGGCCAAGGTGTTACAGGAAATGAGTGTTTCAATTGTATTAGAACAAAATTCTCAACGAAATTGATTAATTGTCGTTTAATTGTCAATTTTGCTCTTTGATGAGTTGAAATTTAAACTCGATTCAGAGTTGTAATTGATTGTTGGGAGTTAACTTTGAATTGATGGTAAGTGAAGATGATGGAAAAAAGGTAAACACAATTTTCACTTTCATCACTTTAAGAAAATCATCTTGAGAAAATTGTTTACAATTAAAGGTAGATAATCAACCATTTTTATCGAGTAGACAATTTATATAAATATAAAGAGTGTAGGAAGGCCTAAATTAAATTAAATTTCTTGATTGTTGTTCATATTAATCATCTAAAGGGAAGAAACCGGAATCGAAGATTGTAAATCAAATGATTATCACAATTAAGGGAATGTAAAGTAAATTGTTCTCTTCAGTTTTAAGTTAATTGTGGAAAGTGATCAGAGACGATGATCAAAAAATCAGTTATTAGAAAGAAGTTTGAATTAAATGAATAAACCAGTTTTCTATTTCCAATATCTAATAATAAAAAATCTTCAAGGATAATCTCATCATGAGGGATAATCTTACTTGGATTATTGTCATCTAATCAAGAAAACCTGAAAATTAGTTAAAACTATCAAATGTCTGCTTCGATTAAGGTCAACTAATGAAGTCTTGATTGTTGGTTAGTTAATAAGTGAAGAGTTAATTGTTGTTGTTGTGTTCAATAATTTGCGATACATCAACTCGTGTTTAGGTAAACATGATTTAGATGGTGTTAGTGTTTTTTTGCTCAATCGTAATTGTAAACTTTGATTCTGTGATGTTGTATGAGTCAAATGAATGATTAAAAGTAAAAGTGAAATGGAAAGTGATGTAATATAAATTGATCAACATGAATTTTCATTTAACCGCGAACTTGAGACTCGAGTTTAAATCAGATAAATGGTAATAATAATGTTGATTGTTATGATGATGATGATGATGATGATGGTGGTGGTGGTGGTGAAAGAGTAGAGTGGAAATAAGTAAAAGGCGCGGGAGGCAGTTTTGGGTGCAACAACAATCAAATCATGAGGATAAAACACACACGCAATCAACTAACGACTTCGTGTTGATGATTTGATGTTGTAATGAAACTGATTTTTGTATTGATTGTAAAAGTAAAACTGACAGAAAAAAAGTTAGTTGGTTAAATAATGAAAAATGTATAAAATGATGAGTCTTTCTAGTTACAATTAGGTAATTGGGTGATTGGGATTAGATAAGGAGGAAGATTTGATTGATTATTTAACAAGTATCGTGCAGATCAAATATGTAAATGAGTAAATTTAAATTTCATCAGTTTACAATCTACAAATAGACTGTCGCTCCCTTTCACTTCATCACTCTCGATGATACAGTTGACAGTTAGAAGAGTCGATTGTTTATCATCAGGAAAAAAAAGTCATATCATACACATAAGAAATAGAGAGAGAGAGAGAGAGAGAGACGAAAAAAACTGCAAATAATCACGGAAACATCAAAATTTGGTGTTTCGATTGTTTTAAAACAATATACATTTAACAGCTGATGTTGACAAATAAAATGGACACTAATTGAGAGACAACAATCAACTGAGAGAGAGATAGAAAAGTGACCAAATAGGAGTAACTTTCAAGTTGATTGTGACAATTAAGGTGCTTTTATAATCCGAAATGGTTGATACACCAAAGAGACACTTGAGGGGACTTGTCATGAGATCAAATGAATTGAAAACTTAATGGACTGAACACTGAGTAAATTCTGGGGAAAAACTGTTACAAAATGTGAATATTGAATTACCTTTGGGCATACCACAAGGACCTTTGGTCCGTCCATTGTCAAGAAAATCGAAATCATATTTTCTCGCTCTGGGAAAAGTCAGAGAAACATGTGAATATACAAAAGTGAAGGTTGAAAGGACAACCCAAGTAAATAAGAATAAATTAAATTCCTTGGTAAAGGCACACTTTGGAAGAGACATTTTGTTTCGCTTTGTTTTCTCAATTAGAAACAATTAAAAAACCAAGAAAAAGAGAATAAAATTTTTGTTCTTTTCTTCCGAACAAAATCTTAAAACTTAATATGTAGAAGAAAAAAAATTGACGACTTATTGATTGTATAGTTGATTCTTGTTAACGATGGTAATGATCGTGTTGTTGTTGTTGTTGTTGTTGTTTCTCTTGTTGTCTATGGTGTTTTTGGTAGGTCATTTATCCAGTGAAAGTAACATTACACATAAGAGAATATTTTAAAAGAAGAATAAAAAACAAAGGTAAACACACATGAAGAGAAGAAGGTGAAAAGAAGAGGAAAAAATGGAAAGAGAATAGAAAAAAATAAACACAGAGACAAGTGGAGACAAAGAAAGTAAAAGTTAATTCATTCTAATGGAATACTAATAATTCACCGAGATTCCAATGGTTAAGATAATCCATTACATTGTTGATTAATTGTTGAGTGAATTTGGAAAAAAAAAACGAGTGGAAAAAATTAAAACGACAATCAAATTGAATTGAACACAACAACAATCAAGGAACAACTTGATTCTCAAAACGTTTTGATGGAGAAACTTTTTCTCTTCTGTTGGAATATCTTTAAGCTCCTCCTCCCACATTCGCTGGAGGGAAAAGTAAATCAGTTACTCCATCTGTCGGTGTGGAAAAGAACAAAAAAGTTTTTAAACTTTTTCTTTTTTTCTTCTAATAATTTTGTTTCCTTTAATGATTATTAATTACGAGAATTAATTGTATTAATTAACTTTGTTTTCTTTTTTATCTTCATCAGATACATGAATAAAGAATTAATCATTAGTCAGGGTGATTAAAAATTCTTGTTTCTTCATTCAGAGAATTTGATTGTTAATTGTTGGAAATTTGGTTAATCAAAGTAAATGATTAATTAAATCAATTTTTAATTCGCTTGCAAACTAAATAATGATCAACAGTTAAAAATTTGAACAATTTAAAAACTGTAAATCTTAAAATACAGTAATTTAAATAGATGATATAATCTAAACACAAAATCAATTAATTATAATTGAGAACTGATTGAACATTTGATTGATTGTAAATGATAATATAATTGTGATAATCTAATAATAGTATAATAATTAATAAAGATGACAGTTTGAGCTTAAATTAACAATTGAAATTATCAATTTCCTTTTTTTATTTCCTTGTTGGTTTTCAACCGGAGACGGAAGTAGTTAGCTTCTTCTTATTTTTATTTTCCTCAGTGTAAATATTATTAGTTGCAATTAGTAAATTATTAGATTGATTAACCATATAAATGATTAAACTACTAGATGAGGAGCTGATGATAAACAAATAACGGTGGATATGATGGTAAAAGCGGTGAAAACAATTAAACATAATCGATCCATAACCATTCCAGCAAATTTCCAATCTTGAATAATATCCTGAATTTCATCGTCTTTCCGTATCCGGTTAGTGATAAACCTTAACTCTTTAAGTATTGCACTTATATCGGAAGAAGATTGTAAATAATTGTAATTAATTGTTGATGGTGATGAAGATGAATCCAGGCAAGATATTTGATGACCAAGATTATGATTAAAGGTATTGAGGTTGTTGATGTTATTGTGGGTGGTTGATGATGATGATGAGACTGTTGTTGTCGGTAATAAACTGAGACCCGCTGTTCCGGTTGACCAGGGGTGAGATGAATTGTAATTAGATGATTGATGAATTGGACCTCTGGAACTGGATCCAGTTATCGGCACTAGTGGATCAATTTCATCACAGCAGCCAGTTGAAGGTGGCACATTGGCACCTCCACCACCACCTCCACCAGGGGTGTTAACAAGTGAGGTTGGTGGTGCTTGTGGAGGGTGGGAAGGTGTATGTGGGAAAACTTGATGTATATTATTGTGTGAGTGTGAATGTTGATGATGAGCATTAAGATTATGTGGTGATGAGTGAGGTTGAGATTGTTGTGAATGATGATGATGATGATTATGATGTTGATGGTGATGATGATGATGAGGAGGATTTGATAAGGTAAATTGTGAACAATAAGAGCAACCAGAGATATTGTGTTGAGCAGTTGAACCTCGAAGTGTATTTAATTGTAAATAATCATCATCATAATCAATTGTTGAATTGTTTGCATTGTCCAATGTAAAATCTTTACCATGTCCATGGGAATGAATTTTTAAATTAACCAAACCCACTTCATCCTTAATTGGTAACAAAGGTGATACCTTTGGATGATGATGATGAGATGAACTTGAGGGAGATGCTTGTTTCTTGGGTGGACTAATATCACCAGGTCGTCGCATCCTAAGAATCCAAGCTAACCAGGTCAGAACCAACAATCGAACCTGAAAATTGAATCAAACGAAAAGTTAAAACAAAAGCCCAAAAGTGATTATCTTATTATTATAATCAACATAATTGCTAATTACAATTAACAGACAACAATTAACTTACCCATTTATTCATTTCATTTGATTCTTGAGTTTTATGATGAAAATTGAGCACCACAACGGTCATTACAACGGAACAAGCAACGACCATCATTATACAGGCAAAATAAGTTCCTGAAAGTGGGACAAATAAAAGGTCACAATTGTAATGAAATCGATTGGAAAAGTATAATATTAATTGCTTACCAATGATTGAAACTGATTCTGAGGTGGGTGGAAGTATATCCGTTAATTGTAACATAAAGACAGACATTGAAAGTAAAATGGTAACACCAAGGGTCAATTTTTCACCCGATTCTGGAGGCAAAGTGAATCCAAGTAAAACCATTGATGAGATTATCATACAAGGAACAATTAAATTGAATCCATAATAAAGTGTTCGTCTTCGTATTAAAATAGTATATGTTAAATCGATGTACTGTGAAGGGCAACAGGCATAGGTGACATTATTTCGTTGTCCAGGCATTCCCAATAGAATCCATTCACCGTTTACTATGTAGGTTGAAAGGTCACCTCCTTGTTCATCCATAAGTCTAAGGTCAAGAGAGTCACCTTGATATGACCATGAGCCAAATTTCATTTTACATTGTTGATCATCAAATGGAAACCAGGTAATATCAATTTTACAGGTACTTCGATAGATACCCGGAGGTAACCAGGCACAGGAACCATTTTGACGAACCTCAACATTGGCAGGATAAGAAGAGTCGATCCGTTCATCAGCACTGAGAGAAAATAATTGAAACATTTTTTTTACCGCCAAAATTTCAAAAAACCGTTAATCCAACTCACCTATTGTATAAAAGTATATCCGGTTTCCATACTTTGGATGCTGCTAAACGGATCTCACTGACTCCTCCATATTCAGATACATTCCAACGGAGATTGGCATCGATCCATTCCTGTTAAATTGTCAACAATTAACATTATTTTCCAAGTTGATTGTTAAACAGATTCAAAACACTTACCATATTAATCATTATATTAGTAACAATGAGTTGATTTTTTTCATCCTATTGAACAAAAGTGAAACATTTTCATTAGTAACTCATTTAAATTGTAGTTCCATTGTGATTAAGTTAATTTTAATTGATTATTTCTCTTACAACATCGATAATTTGTTGTAAAGTAAGGCCAAAACTGACGAAAACGGGTTCGGATTCATTGAGAACTGGTCTCTCCATAGGATTATACTGTTCCATCAGGTCATTTAATAACTTTCTCTCGTGAATTCCTTGTTCAGTTGCTTAATTGTCATGGTTAATGATTCCATAGGAGAATGAAAGAAACAATTAAGATGATTATCATTGATTATTTCCATCGGTAATAATGATCAAAGTTTTATAATGATTGTTGTTTAATGATTTATAAATCAAATGTTAAACAAAAATCAATCAGCAATCAGGTTTGTTTGTGTGGTCATCATTTAATCACAATTAATGGTCATTTTCAAAGATGTAAAAGTGATTAGATTTAACCATCAGAGATAATGTTGATACATGTTGAGCAAGAAGGCGATAATTAAGGAAATATGAGAAACAATTAATTAGTTAACCAATAAATAAACAGTTAGTTAATGATGAAAGTTTATCAAATTAGTTAATTGTAATTGTAGTTAAATCATCCTCCATCATTGGATCAATAAACAATCAGTAATATATCAGATTATTTAATCTCCCAAGGGTAAACAAATCCTTATCCTAATAAAATGTACTTTGGGCTGATTGTAACAATCAACTAATGAGAATTGAATTAAATTAACCAAAATTGTTGAAATGTTGCAATTTAACAAAATTAAATTGCAGGTAATTGAAAGTGAATTCAATTCAGATGAAATTGAATCACTTGTAGGTTGATGTTATTTAAGTTAATGCGATTTTTTTTTATTAACTATCATCATCATGTTATTACTCAGTTACATGGTGATGATAAGATGATAAAAAAAAAGATGAGGATGTAAAATGATGATAATGATACAGTAACTTGAATAATCTGATTGCTTAACATGACGTGATAATGAATAGTGATTAGCAAATGATTAAATAACTTTGATTATAATTTACCTTTTTTTTCATACTCATTGTTTGGTTTAATCATTTTTACCGAGTTGACTTTTTTTTTACCTGAAAAAATATTTCCAAAGGTCATCATCATTATCTTCAGCATCCTCATCACTTTCACATGAATGAATGACAACTTTCATAGCTACTTTTTTAATTATCTTTGAAAATGATTAATAAATTAATCACACAGTTAGTTTAACTTGGTTGTATCTCAATTCATCATTAACCTTAATTATAATGTATCATCATCATCATCATCATCAAGTTTATTAACTGTGAGTTACTTTGTTGTTATTGTTTGTAAATTAGTTGATTAATTATTGTAATAACAAAAATTTCATTCATATGATTTAACTTATTTACAAAGTTGATTAGTTTTAATTAAACGTTTTCTAACAAATAAATCATATGGTTAATAAATTACCTTCATTATATTAATATGTCAATCACCATATTGTTATTGCAATTAATTAATTGTTTCTAATTTTCTAATCATATTGTTACTGTTAAATATATTATATCGTTTTGATTGTTTTCATTTTTTTTCACATTTTTTGCTTTGATTTAATTAGCTGATTAAATTCAAACAACACGAGTTAGTTAATAAATTGTTATGTTTACTTACTAGTTTACCCTTTAGGCAATTAACATTTGAGATATTACAATCAAATTGGAATAACAATCAATTTATTTATTGATTTAATTTACTATTAGATTTGATTTAGTTCAAACAATCAGCAATCAAATTACAGTTGTTAACATTATCATCATTAACAACGATAACAAGTTTAATATTAAACAATTTACTTCTTACAATTAGTTTAATTGTTGGGAGATTTACTTTGAGTTAACTAATTTCTCAACAAATAAACAATGAAAAAAACTAATCACATTAAATTGTTACCAATTAACATTAACACAATTATGATTATGTTTATGTAATAGCAATTATTATTAATGATCAATTCAGATCTTTTCATTTCAATCAAACGTGGTGTTAATCATGTTGAGTTAATTAATCATTAATAGAAATGATTATTTATCACTCGAATTCAACTAATAATAATCACTAAGATGCTAAATACATCACCAAGAAAACTTTGATATCTCTCTCATCATTTAAATCAATATTGTTACAATCAATCTCTCAATCAGTTACACAATTAAATCCTAATCAATTACACTCAATTCATTTATCATCCAACACAAATCAGATTAGTTGATTGGGTTAACGGTGAAATAAAAAAGGTAACCGAATTTTTTTTTCACCAAAATTGTTCATTCTTTTCCTGTTCATTTCTATGGATTACAAATTACATGAATAGACATGATACTTCATGATAGTTTATCTTTCATCGAACACTATTATCATCATGAGCATTTGAACTGAAAGAGTTTATCTTTGCTCATCTTTTTCCATAATTTTTTCTTCAGATCTTCTCATCTATTAATATTTCTTATATTCACTTGAATGATTTTAGATTGTGGCTTAAAGGTAAAGTTCTGATTATTTACTACAGAATTCTGAAGTAATGATGGAGAGAAAAGGATGAGGATGGAGATAACTAGGTGAACGAATCTATCATTTGTATTGAAAAGTATCTCCATCTTCATCTTCATCTTCTTCATCTTCCTGTCAACCTGAAAACAATTTTTAACCACATGGAAAAGTAATGGTAACTCTAATCAATTTTTGTTTCATTCTTCATTAATTTTCCAACCTCGATCGAACTTGAAATGTTCAAACTCGAAAGATTGATAAACGTTAAGAGTTTTACCCTTTAAAGTTATAAATCTTGATCCAATTTCTAAACTGTTATCTTTTTGAGTTCTCCATGTAATCTAATCGTTGGTCCATGATATTGTCTTAATCCATTGGAAATAAATAAACTGATGGGTAATAAGTTTTCCCTTTGTCGAACTCATTTAGAACTAACTTACAACTTTATCGGAGAAACTTTTCTTTACTTCATATATTATTCTCGATCGATTCTCAATTCCGATAAAGTCTTTTTTTCTGCTGTTTTCTATTAACAAGAAAAAAAGGTTTACCCATCTGATTGCATTCACAATAAATGATAATATTCACTCTGAATGATGATCATATTCATGATAGTATTCAGAGTAAGACAAAAAAGTTCTGATCTTTTCTGAGAATCAAAGTTCAATAGGGAGAAAAAAATCGAAAGAACCAAAAAAAAAGGAGAAATGTTGAAGATAATTCAATCTTAACATCTTTCTAAATGTTATCATTATCATCATTTCTCATATGATTTTATTTAACTAACACATAATAATGACAACGATGAGGATGATGAGTTATTATTGTCACGATATATTATCTACCGAGGAAACTGTTAGTAACAAGGAATAGGGTGGAGATGGAAGATGAAGATGAAGATGAAAAAAACAGCATCTTATCATTTGTGACACAAGAATTTATGTTTTCCTCTGTCAACCGTTACAATTATTATTGTTATTATAACTATCATCGGACATGGAAGATGATGGAGATGAAGATAATAGATTGGCAGAAATAGGAAGATGAACAATTTTGAAAGGAATAAAAAAGTTCTCAACTTAAAGTTCCGTTGGAAAACTCAAACTCATACTTAGGGATAGATTTCATCTCTCCCTCTTTGCCTCTGAAAATTTTTGTTTCCTTTTTAAACGATATTGTTTCAATTGTTGGTCCTTCCAACTATTTATTATCTTTCTATGAACTTTTCTTCTCAGTGACTATCATGAACCTTTCTCATCGAGATGATAATGATAACATTTGTAAGTTTTAAATGAATAAGAAAGAGAGGTAAAGCAAAAGCCATGATAAAATTGTTTAGATGTAAAAATCAAGACAATTGATTCTTGTTCAGGGTGAAATGAATCATGTAGAAAGTTAGAGATTGTCAAAAAGTAAACTTCATTCTCATTCTCATTCTCATCCCTCATCTTAATCATCTTCATCTCTCTTTCTCTCTCACATCTTTATCAAATATCAATTCAAGTGATCATAGTAAAGAAACTAGATCTTTCCTACTAAAAATTCTGGTTTACTGAGTTTGAAAATCTATCAGGATAAGTTTTAAAGGATAAGAGAAAAAAGTTATTCCTCTTTTTTTTTATTTCACTGAACTTTTTTTTCATTTCAAAAATTTTTTCTTCCAACCTTTTGTTTTCCTCCAACAAACAGATAATATTGATTGTGTTCAGTTCATTGGTGATACATGTTTGTTATCTCTTTGTCTCATCCTTATTTTGATTCTTTATTTACCTGACAAAACCATCACCTTACCATGTTAGCGTGTATATTATTTATGTCTTTCAAGTAAGAGAGGAAAATATTTCCATGATAAGTGAATTTTTCGCACTGAATTTTAGTAATAAAAACTCCAAACATTTTATTTCTTATTGTTACACAAATAGTTTCATACTATCAAATTGAGTTTATATTATTAATAATAATTCTGATCTCAACCTGTCATTAGTAGTAACATTGTCTACTTACAACGGATTGAATTTTCTCCATTTCCTGGTCCATATTCATGATAGTTGGAGTCAGATTTCATGTCGACACTTGTATAACTTTTATAGTATTCAGAGTTGGCTAATTTTTTAGTCCAAAAGTTAATCTGAAATCACTTCGAATCGACTTTTTTTGCATAGACAAGGCAAAAACCACCGATAGAAACAATTGAAAGTAATCAACTTGCATGGGTAAACTGTTTACCGTGGTAAAAAAAAGCCTGATTCAGGTAAAAAGGAGGTAAGTCAGATCTATTGAAACTCAACCACATGAAATGAAAATGAACAAACATTATATTGTATGCACTCGAGAAAAGGTAAAGGTAAACGTTTTCAAGATTGTAAACATAAGAAATTTCAACTCAGCTCATTACATATCTCTTATTACCCTCATTATCATCATATGAATCTGTATCGTTTCGAGCATTTTCTCATCGTCAGATCTTAATGGATAGTTTTTACCGTCTCTCTCTCTCTCTCTCCCTTGCATACACACACATTCAATTCATTTTCTGTATATTCAGTTAGAAATGAATGCCTGATATGAGTACATCTTCAGAGGGTATTATTTGGTGAATCATTTGCCTTCCACTGTCTTTTTATGGATAGAAAGAGGAAATCATGTTTCCCATTAACTCAAAGTAAATGCTATTGGTAAAAA